TGACCAATCAGCACACAACAAGAACTCTGTGCTTAAGTGAAATCCAGGTCTTTTTTAATTGAAATGGTAATTTCCATACCCTGTGCTGCCTCATAGTCTCCCCTGACATGATTAGGTGCTCACCCTAACTATAGTTACCCAAAAAGACCAAAGATGCAGTTTACAGAACCTCAAGCCAATCAATCAATCAATCAATCAATCAATCAATCAATCAATCAAATGCCAAACCCCACAGTCCCCCATATCAGAACTGTACAATGAATAAAAACATCACAGCTATTAAAATACAAATATTACTGTGCACCAAAAAGTATAATCCTGAATAAACTGTCGCAAAAGTCCATCTAAAAACGAGAACGATGTAAAAGTACGGGAGCAGCCTAAGGGAGACTGACAGGATTTATTTTTAATCAATATGCAGATTAAGTGTTATAGAGCATGAAAGTAATTTTATTTTTTGGGAGCTCCAGCGAGTTCAACTAATACAATAATGCATCAAAATTAAAACTGGCCAAGAATGAATTTAATGTCAGGTCCCTAAACCTACATTTCAATGAAAAGCCATGGGACAGGAACGAACAGGTTGTGAAAAAAGTGTAACCCTATACAAAGAAAACGACGGAGTATTTAATTTCCATTGAGGGGAGCTTTAAACCTCCAAGGACAGGTAGGTTTCCTCCATCCGCTGAATCACCACTATTCCCGATTCAGCTTAGGACAGGAGTTAGCAAACTGGCTAAAGCTAAGGCCTCAGTAAAGGCACCTGATTAACCTGATAGCGCTGGGCGGTAAGGTGGCGTCACACAGTATTTACCTATATAACTGTATTCTATATGCAGGCAAAAACTCAAAAAATAGTTTTAGGAAACAAAGAAGCAACAAAAAGTTTATGCGTATGTTTTTTAGCTTCTTGTTGGTGGTTGTTAAAAATCACAGAGTGATGACATGAACGATAGATAAAAAGCCAAGAGCTAAGAAAAAAAATTAGCTAAAAAACTTTAATAAATAGAAAAAGATGAATATAATGGTGAAAGCAATCAGTATCTGCAGAAGTGTTGTTTACACATAGTTCATGCTACGTTTAAGCGAAGTAAGATACTGTAGTTTGCTGGAGGAAAAAAGAATATAATCACAGAGATACATTCTATAGCTTTAATACATATCTGTTATTTAACAGCAAATTAATAATAATTTTCAAAATGGAAGTATTTATCTTTTACGATCATCTGGTCAAGATTCTAACAGCACATTTGTTTTACACGTTTAATTTCACATTCAAGATTAATCAGATATTTGCTGAATAGTGTTAGTGCTTGAGCTTCCATTTTATGACAAAAAATGTGCTTCCTTCCTAGCTATACTGTCTGTATTATAAGTAACAAAAAAAAAAAAAAAACAAACGTTCTTTTATGAAGGACATAGCCATTGTACTTACCCTGCTTCACTGGGGGTTTCCTTTATTTCCACACCTAAAAATAACACCCGCCACATCAAAGAGCCAACGGCACCCAACTGCACTGCCTGGTGCAGAGCAGCAGATGAAGCTTTCTGAGCCGCAGCGTGCAGGTATTTTTACCTGCATTTTCAAAAGTTTTTCATTACATGCTGTTATGCGTTTAGCGCATATACCACAAACTCAAAGAATGAAACATATCGAATGGAATAGATTAAGTTCTATTTTGTCAGTAACATTTTTACTATAAATGAACAGAGAAATAGAAAGAATAGAAGCCTCAAATAGAAAAATAGAATAGAAACAGAATAAAAAACAGAAGCCATCATAAGGCTTCCGAGTATCAGCACTCTGTACATGTGTTACATTTTTACCTTACGTATGTGTACAATACTGCTGTAAATCTGGAGTGAAATGCTGGGCCTTGTGGTATTACAGCTGCAGGTAAGCTTCTTAGGGACTGGCCATGTGGCAAGTTTTATCACTGGAATTATGGGAGCAGAATGAAACGAGCACTTATATACTTTCCAAGGGCCTGCAAATAAGAGACGACCATGTCCCTACAGTGCAGGCCAGATGTTTCAGGTGCAGCAGTGCACACAGATACATTTTCTGCTCACGCCAAAAAAGAACACGGTGTCACGCCCAGCTCCGTACGATCCTTGTGTGTGCCACGCCCACCTCGTTACCTCGTGTTTTCTGCCTGATTGTTCTCACCTGTTGCTCGTTACCCTTAGCTTGTCATGTGTATTTAGTCCGAGTTCAGTCAGTCTTCCCCAGATTAGTCATTGTATTGTCATGTCTGCTGTTTTGATGTCTGCCTGTATCCAGTAATAAACCCCGTCTGTCCGTATTTACGGCTCCGTTCGCCTGCTTTCCAGCTCGCCTGCCCCGCAAACGTAACACAAGTCATGTTTTTTTTTCCCACTGACAGCAGACCATCAAGGGAAGGATCCACATAAAGCGCAGTCGAAAGGTGCTGGGGTCACATGCTGTGCTACATACTGTAATTGTCAGTCACGCTATTTTAAGGCAATCCGCCGTGTCACGAAGCTGGCATGGATTCTCAGGGCGACACAGGTACTGTATGTTTACTTTCAGGCTACCCTGTTTACCGATGTCACACATTACTTACGAACATTCGTCTGTATTAAACTTTACTTTCCTGAGTCACACACTCTGTCCTTTGTACCTGAGCTGTTGTAATGTGACACTGGGTGGTTATGTTGGGAACTGGCTCAGATACTATGCTACTGATAAATAAACCATCTAAAGAAAATAGGATGGTTGCAATAACAGCTGACGTTCATGTTAAGGTACTTAGCTACTGCTGAGAATAAAAACAAACAACCCAGTTCAATTATGGCGCGTTGTAGTTAATTTGATCAATTAATCTGGTGTCCAGAATTCTATGGCTTGTCAGTGCCACAGCTGCGACTGGAGTTAGTGCCACGCCTCTGCTTTACGTGTGTATAAAGTACGATATATGCTTTTTGGCCAAACATCATAACTTATTTACAATAGCAGATACTTTCACCAAGCTGACCTATTTCAGATTCTAGATACTAAAGAAAGTTATGGATACTGTCAATGGTCCAAAAGCACTTCCCTGTAAGGAAGTACATGCCTTTCAGATGACAAGTACAGATATATGTCCCGCTTGCTGCACCACACATCTCCGTGGGTCATTGCTACAGGAAGCTGATGACGCAGACATTGACATACCGACTTACTGCTAACAGAAACGACAGTTAACTCTACGGATTTCCTCGGCCCCTTTAAAATCTCTTTCGCCTCTTATATTTCCCACGGGGCCCTTGTCTCCACACAGCCTTTACCATAAACCTTCCAATTCCGAATTCTCAGAAGCTTTACCACACTCTGCAGAAATCTTTTACTCCTGGATATTGTTACTGCAGACAATTCATCCAGAAGTGATGAAACAAAGACTCACAAACATGAAACCTGCCGGAGATTTAGGAAGTTAACATCAAAACGCAATATTCTACTGGTCCTATAACACAAAAACAGTTTAATGAGCCAAACTAATAAGGCATCATCAGGCAGTTTTGCTGTGAGGAGTAACAGTGTAAAGCACAGCTTACATTTACCTATTTAGCAGACATTTTTATCCAAAATGATGTACAACTGAGAAAGTAAAGTCAGTCCCTGGAGTAATTGGGGGCTAAGGGCCTCGCTCAGGGGCCCAATGGTGACAGCACCCTAGAGACCCAGGGATTTGAACCAGCGACCTTCCAGTCATGGGCACAGAGTCCTAACCCATTGATATCTGCATGCAGCATCCTGCATTCACTACCGTCAGAGTCAAATATCTGTAATTTGTAATTTGATATGGATCTCATCTCTATTCCGGCAGCTGCAAAAAGGAAGTTAAGCACAATGGCCTGAAATGGTGAATGAGACAATATTGGAAATATATACACTGAAGAATAGCATTGTTAAACCGAGTGCCAGTTTCACTATGGCTTATAATAAAATCATGAAATTGCATTTCAGATTATCCGAAACTGTCACATTCAAGAAGGTGATGCTGCAGTGAATTTTCTGCAAATCACTAAGAATTAACATTATTAGTTTATGATTTAAAACTATGAACTATTAAAGTATGACTAAGTTTGTCACTTAAAGAAAAATACTGTACACACCTCAGGACTACTCACCAGTGAGTAATATAAAAGGTAGTAAACATTAAACTCATATTTGATACATAGACTACATTTACCAAGCAGCTCCTGCATAATTTATATTAAAATAAATCAAAACTGCACTCCTACCATTTTACTTGCAATTGCATGACAATTTTATTTTTATCAACAGAAAATAGCTTCAGATGAGCGGTGGGAATTTGGTTTGTTGCTCTACTTGTTATGAATGAAAAAACAAGTCACAAGAAGTATATTTTCACTGAAGTATGAATGTATTTGACGATTTGACATGTGGGTGATTGCTATTTAAACAAAATGCAAATGCATAAAAATTTACTGTGCATGACATACATTCCAGATTTTTTTTTTTTTTAGAAATTTGGTTAATTTGCTTATTTATTTGCTGCGTCATATCTAGTTTCCATTGCTTTATTGCTCGTTAAAATAAAGTGCCTGTAAATGTAGTTACAGGCAAACTGTACTACTTACAGCCCATAAGAGAAAGGAATCATCGTATCTCACTGGACGAGACACATTGTCCTCAGGAGCAAAAAAATACGATGAACTTTGACAGGGTGAATAAATCACGATGGATGTGAAAATGTCAGTGGAAGTGGGTTAGGAGAGGGGGGACTGCTATGGGGAGGGGGGGGGGGGGGGGTCAGGGAGGGACACACAACCATGCTGGTTTGCAACCAACCAGTTTTCAGAATCTATGGACCACTTTACTACACCTTTGCAGAAGTATCAAAAGACCAATTCCTCAGTGGAAGACCCAAAAGAAATATCAAACATCCCAGACATATGATCAATGAATCAAAGCAACAGATTGCATTGAGTGCCAAAAGCCCCCAGACAAACCAACCCCCCCCCCCCCTTACCTCGTAGGACCAGACGCACTGCGTGCCCCCGAACCTCCGCACACAGCGTCCCACCTCCACGTCCTCGTGGGTGGTGTACATCTCCCGCAGACAGGCTCCGATGTGGGGTACCATCCTCCGCAGAACCTCCCTGCTGAAGATCATGCCCGGCCCCCCCATGCAGAAATTCTCCCCGGGTTCGAGGGCCAGCTTGCCCAGCTCCTCGGTGGTGCCCAGGCCCGTCTGGCCCAAGTAGAGCGGCTTTGTGCTGTTCAGCGACCGCAGGAAGCTTTCCAGTTTGTCCCCTGCAGACACACGGGAGGCAGAGAGGAGAGGAAGCTCACACACACGTCACATCATTCACACACTGCTTATCACATCACAATTTTTAGTATTTAAATAACTGAAGGATTTTGAACTGGAAATTCCAGAAGTTAATTGTGAAGTGAATGCATCAAAAATAAAGATATAGAACTACAATTTGGAACATATTTTGCACTTTTATAACTTAATCTGACAGTCTGAAATTAACAAAACGTTTATATAAAAACTCTTTTTTTTCCTTTTGAAATAATGTTGCCATTACTCATTTTTCCCACCATGCACTAAAAGCTGAAGCATTTCTTAAGTAAACTGCCAATTCTAAAAGCCATTTGAAAAGTCAATTAATAAAAAACAAAGATCTAGAACAAATTTTGCACATTTATAACTTCAGTTTACAGCCCAAAATTAACAAACTGTCAGAATTATACTTAGAAGCTCTTTTTTTCTTTTTCCTGAAATCACGTTTGTTTCTTTTCATTTTACCAAGCAATTAAGCAGATTAATATTATGATTAGCCATGTTCATAAAATGCTCTTGTATTAATTTGTGTATTATTAAGAATTTGTTCATTTGTTTGCCTTCTTTAGGACACAGCGAGGAGCGCTTGAACGGTACAAAGGCACAAACAATTTATCAGAATAATCACTGGGTCTGTCAGCCCTGTAGGGGAAATTCCTGAAGTCCTGAGAGCATCGCAGGGTGGATGGAGGTGTGAAGTTCTAAGTTTAACACGGTGACCCACTGTAAGTCAGACCATATAACGCCGTGCCATGTGACTTCCTCCGGTAACATCGGCAAAATCGGCTTTCTGTCACCCCTGACCTGATCCACCCACGATGCCGACATGGAGTTTCAATCGGGATCTTAGGTACTAGGCAACGGCACCCCCCTCAAAAACGTCGCTTTATGTACTAGGCTGACAGGCACATTTATCGAATATCTGTATGCCTATTGTATTCCTCTTCGATTATTATACACGTGAGAGCAAATAACATGCCTAGCATTCTTATTAATGATCTCTAACGATCTCAGTTTTTGATAACATAAAGAATTTTATTTAATTTAGAAATGTACTACTTCCAAGTCAGACTATGGATAAAAGTTACAGTATCCCCGTCTGTTTCATTGAGGTCGGATACCCACGGTCACAACTTAGGTACTCAAATATAAAACTGTACACCAAATGCTAGATACTTAAATATAGTGCTTGGGCAGTTAACAAATACTATGGCCGATTGACTGAATCGGGGCTTTAGTGGAAATTCGTGATAAAAACTTATCAAAAGTAACCTCTGTAAACCGTGAAAGACAAAAACAGATTAAGGTTTCGGTGCAGAGTCGTGAAGTTACCATATTAGGAATAATAGTTTTGTTGAAGATGCCTGGGATGGCTGATCGCTGAGTGCTAACGAGAGTGTGCGGCTGGGCGGGTGTCACGCCTGAGTATGGGAATGTCACCACCGGCCAAGTTACCTACACTTGTCAGACAACCGACAATACCCCCACCCCACATAAGACCGACTTCCGACATCGGAACGCCGTTAACCCCAAGCGAAAGCCAGCCATTCACCTCGGATATAGACATCGTCATCCGCCCGCATGAACCACTCGTACTTATCCAGGTAATGGTCGTGCATGTACTTCAGCATCATGAACGACTTCTTCTGCGGAGGGTAGGAATCGTCCACCCCCGGCAGGGACACCACGGGTAAGGAAACGGGCAGCGGCACCGTGTCTGATCTCTCGCTGGAGAAGAACTCCACCTTCCCTGGGATGGTTCTGGTCCACGTCCTATGGGCAGCCACGGCCCGTGAATCCAGGTACTTTTTGGCCGTCATGACACCGACGTATAGGAAATTCCTGGGCTGCGGGAAGGGATCTCCTCCATGCCCGCTGTCGTTGCTGGATCTGTGCATGCTCTCCCCCTCCTCCTCGCTCGCCTCCTGGCTGGACATAGGGCTCCTGTCCTTCTGCCACGCATTGCTGCTCGCCGTGCTCTCCTCCATATCCCGCACTTTACCCACGCTCCCGGCATTACCGTAGTAGGAGCACATATTAGATTTTCTCCTCTTGCCGCTGATTTCCAAGACCCGGGGAACAATGAGCCAAGACGCCGCAGTAAATCCAAGGAACACCCCGACAATAACGCTCATCCAGGGTCTTCTTGACCTCACAGCCATGGTTAAATAAATATACGTACAGGTTAAATATAATGCAAATGAAATGAAACACCCGATCTAATTTGCGTTGAAGGCTATTGCTTTGCTATATTGGACGATTATCATACATGTTTAGGTTTTGATCGAAGTACATTAGCTTGCTAAACAAGTAGTGTTACCTAAGGGTAATAATATTTCTCCTATTTGCATCCATGGATAACATCCCTTAAAATTAGTCCAGACAATGTAGCTATACATCCGACGGCAGTTCGGGTACAGTCTTAAAGGACTGCCATGTTGCACTTACAGGAAAAACATTGTGTCGGTTTTCTTTATTTGTAACTGTCCAACGCGACGGAAGAAGTTGCAGTGCGGTCCGGATTGAACGCGATGCCGAGACGCGACCTCATTACTTTCCATCGAGAAACATGATGCCTCCAACTGAGAAGCTGGAAAAAATTATATAAAAAGTTGCCGCTTACAAATTGTTGCCGATCGCAATCATTTTTTTAAATCAGCCGAGATTGTTGCGTTTCCAGTTGTCTCATCGGTCCCGCATGAAGAAATTGTAGTTCTTAACAATTTTGTTCTGCAAATAAGCAGCTATTTTATCCGCGCCTGTCTCGCCATTTTGTGCACTAATTGACGTCAGAGTAAATAACTTTACATATTTTTTCTTTCTTCCCGGCCCTCTTCTCTAATTTTGCGCCGTTTCGGAACAGGCTTGCGGCACAGGGGTAAATATGCATCGCCGAGTGAAGTAGCTAACGGGATAGTCTCCGGGAGGCGAGGCTGACTGGGGGCGGAGCGACGGCCGGCAGCCGCACAGAGCCTCCTCTCCCCGGACTGACGCGGACCGAGGCGCTCCGAGGGGAGGCGCACGTTGCATCATTAAGTGCTACTTTGCTGGATCCGAAGCAGCGCTTTTCAACAGCTGATTTCTCAGCCGTTTTTTTTGTTGCAACCATGTTCGCGTCTGCATAAAGCTTCAGCAGTAAACGGTTGGTGCGCGAAAGTTAAGGCCGTTTCCAGACGCCCATTTTGGCAGCTAGTTCTTCTTTCTTTTTTTAATTTCCGAATTAGCTGGTTAAGTTTGCTAATGCGGATCCCGACTCATGCTTGGCAGAGGTTTCACTTTTGGGGCACAGATGACAAGCATATTCAACCCAAGAATAATGCATTGGAAAAGTAAAAAAAGAAAGCTTTCGATTAATGTATTTAAGTGTTTCAAATAAATACGGAAGTTATCGTCTCTTTGGGATTAATGAACGTTAGGCCACCTAATCACGTTCGCTCGTTATGTGTTCATTGCCGTCATTAAAAGCGTTAATACAGGACTAAACTGGCACATAAGCTGGTAGGCCTATTTTAAGAAACTTTTTAGAACTATTTCACAGTTTTTAATTCTGATTAAAGATGCCCATTTCCTGAAACAGTTCAATAATCTGATTATGAACTGATTATGAGAAAGATCTTGGTGTGTATGTTGAGGCTTCCATGTCCCACTCTCGCCAGTGTAGGGAGGCAATTAAAATGGCCAGTATAGGATGTTTGGTTACATCTCTAGGTGTGGCGTTTAAAAAAAAGGAGGTGATGCTAAGATTATACAATTCCTTGGTAAGATCGCACCTAGAATATTGTATGCAGGTTTGGTCACCATACCTTAAAAAGGACATTGCTGCCTTGGAAAAGGTTCAACATAGGGCTACGAGACTGATTGCTGGTCTTAGAGGAATGTCTTATGAGGAGAGGTTAGCTGAGCTGAATCTGTTTAGCCTCGAGCAAAGGAGACTAAGGGGGGACATGGTCCAGGTCTATAAGATTCTAACAGGTCTGGATGCTGGATAGCCATAGGCTATTTCAATATTAGTTTAAATATTAGAACTCGTGGCCATAAGTGGAAATTAGCAGGAGAACATTTTGAAATGGATTTGAGAAAGCACTTCATTACACAGCGTGGAATAGTCTTCCTGTTAGTGTAGTACAAGCTACAACCCTGGGTTCCTTTAAATCAGAGCTAGATAAGATTTTAACAACTCTGAGCTATTAGTTAAGTTCTCCCCAAATGAGCATGATTGGCCAAATGGCCTCCTCTCGTTTTTAAATTTCTTATGTAAATTAACATTTTAATTTAAGTAACTAAATAATGTGTTACTGCCAAAACCAAAGGATGTCCTTCGATAAACAAGTAACTTGTTTGTTAAATAATACAAACAAAATGACACGTTGGAGCTTTATATAACAAGAACTGTAGGAATATACATTAAAACCCATGGTTTGATTAAATCGTATAGGCTTTGCATATGTGCTTGCTCTTGCATTGTGGAATTTGACTTTGGTTACTATTTTTTGGTTACTAATATCGTATGAGCACGTTGATTAAATACCACACCAGTAACCTCACAGACAAAAATAGCTCACTGCTCCAGAAAAACCACCTCAAACACCGACCTACAACTTTGGATAGATATTGTCACTTAAAAATCCCACATAACGTAACCTTATTTGCAACGCACATTCAGAAAAAGTTTTTAATATGGTAAAGTAGATATTTCCAAATAAAGTTAGGCCTATATGATTGTATTGAAAATCAACATTTTCACACAAATCAGAGTATGAAATTTGTTTGCCTCGGCATTTCAGAATAATTTACTGCAAGTGTAGTGAAATATAATGTTTCCAGCAAAATAAATAAAAACTGCAGGGATTGTGCATAGACATTTTGAAAAAAAGAAATCCGAAGAGAGCGATGGTGACACCTCTTGAAACAGGATATTTGTAGCGCTCACGCATTTTCCCATTGTGCTGGAGTGCCCTCTAGTGGTACAACTGCAGTATTTTACCTTAATGCTCTGTGATCGGGCGCTTTACGCGTAAGGCAGGAGTTTGGTAACATATTACACACAAAATTACATTAGAAAATGACGCAACAAGTTCCCGGATATGATTTCTTCTATACATGATTTAATGTTTATGCATTTGAGAGAGCATTTTATTTCCAAGAATGTACATATTTAATTTACTTTAGTAGGCCTATATATTGTACATATATTACAAAATGCGTATTAAAAGTAACCTGACAGATGCAACTAATATCTTTTCTTTAATGAAATTTGTCAAGTAGTCCAGTAAACAAAAGAAGTCCTCGACAGTGGAAAGGCCATGTTCCATCACGGGAGTGGATGGAGTGGTGCTGTAATTACTGAATAGCTCTCTAGCTATTTTTAGACCCTAACAATAATACGGCAGCCTCCGGTGGACCCGGTGCAGAGGAGCGGGCGCGCCTTCGGGCTCCCCGTAATAGACTTCTGATGCCGCGGACGCCTATCTTCCCTTGCCTGCCCTAGTTTGCGCACATTCCACTTCTCAGCCTCCTACTTCTCATTCGTGCCTGAATGATCTCATTCGGAAATTCATTTGAAACACACAAGAATCATTCAGGAATTCATTTGAGACATGCACAAAATCATTCTTATTATACTCCACTGTGCGGTCTCTATACAAAGTGATATAAAGGCATGCACGCACTGTGCATTTTAATACATCAATGCCCACGTAATCTATGAAATACAGCCTATTATTTATTGTCTGTATAGCCTTCCAACATTTAAGTTTTTTCGTCTAGTGTCTGCATTGACTGGGGATTTGTGATTTAGCTAATGCGAAGAGTAGCCTACAATAAGCACTAAACGGTTCAATCTAAGGAATTGCTGAAGGGTCATTCTGACAAGACAATCACTCATCTCTGGCACAAGTGCCGCACAGTCAAGCATCGGATTCTGCATTTATGGATTCTGCATGGAGGCTTGCCATGCGCTTAATTGATCAGAAACAACAGCTAAGTGGAACAATAAAAAATATATGCGTCTTTAATCGCACACATTAAAAAAGACAAACTTTGTTAAGAGATCATCACTTGTAAAAATAATTAATTATGTGTGTACTTGGCAATGCATAAGCCATCGTTTAATTTTTTGTAACTACTACTGGCACGGTAATGATTATAATGACTGCGAGCACGGACACGATAACTAAAGCCGCCATTTTACACATTTTATTTCGTCTCTGTTCCGCTTCCTTCCTTTTCAGCAGCGAGTCATAGCCTGGGGTGTAGAGATCTTCCAGCCAAAAGCTCAGATCCTTGGGGTCCTCCTACAGAAGAAGGACGAAGCGTGATTTAAGTGAAGGTTCCATACCATCATGTTTTCATCGTCGTTATTTTTCCTAGTCTTTACTGACTTCAACTAGGGGCACACTCACAAACAATATGCCTCCCGATGTTTCAAAAACTTAATAAATACCTAGGGAGTAGAATCAGAAGATCGTGGCTAGCTAGTTGTTTAGCGATATATGCTGCTTCTCTGTGTCCTAAATGAGAAGCACAATTATATAATAGGCCTACTTTAATAATATTGTATAGACTGTGCAGGGTTGCCAACTCTCAATGCTCGTGCAAGAAATCTTATGGCAAATCTATATTGCTTCATCATAAACCTAGCATTAGCTACATCAAAACCGTTGGGGTAGTTTGCAAACCTTACTGAGCATTTAAAAGGTGATAAAACTCTTAGATACATATAAACGCGTGTGCATGTGTGTGCAGAAAATCTCATTCCAGCCAGTTGACCAAAGTTTCGCAACCCTGAGTATATTGACTATTCGTAACCAACAGGAGCCCCCCCCCCCCCCCCCCCCCGGGCCCCCCCCCCCCCCCCCAACCGTTGGGGCCCCCACGCCCCACTGCATGGTTATTGCCATTGAAAGAGCACCTTTGAAAGGAAGTTCCCTCACCCCAACTGACAGCTGTGAAACAGCTCAACCTTTTCAAAACAATGCAGCGAGCTGTTCTGTCGTGTTGTTGCCTCATCCACGAACATGAAATCAGCTGACATCCTCTTGGCCTCACATGCAGGCCGACATCATGAAGATTTTACTGTGCTCCATATAAACAGTTGAAAATGGGAGGAGGGATGAGCATGCTATTTATTGGCATAGAGCCCGACAATGAGTAGGTGGCCTGTTTAGTTGGCACGGAGCCTACTCTCATCTTAAATCAGATCAGAGGAACACTTCCACACATTCTTAATGCCCGTCCCTAAGTTCATTTTTAATACTGGCATGACGGCATGACCCAGAATCCTGAGTGTAAATGTGTCGCATTCCCTTGAATAGAAATTGTGAGGACCTGGTTGATGAGTGATGATAACCCATCAAGTCAGTGGTTTATGAAACTGTGCCTATATCCAGGCAGTTGTGGGTTTGAATCCCGTGGCCTGCAGAGTAATCATATCACTGCAGGGCCCTTAACCTCAATTGCTCCAGGGGTGCTGGATGTTGGCTGACCCTGTTCTGTGACCTCAAGCTTCCCTCCCCGTACCTCGCTTTAGGACAAAAGCATCTGCTAAGTCAATAAATGTAAATTTAATCTGCGGCGCAGGTCGTCCCTTAGGAATGAACCACAGGGGTTGATGTTAGCTGGCCCTAGCCTGAACATTCTCATACACAAAACACTGAAATCGCAGATCCGTGATTCATCAATCCATCTATCTTTTACACTGCTTATTTGGGAAAAGGTCAGGCTGAGCCTGGAGGCGGGGGGGGGATGGGGTGTGTCCTTGTTGGGGTGCCAGTCCATGCCTAATATGCTAATAGGATTCAGCTTTTATACAGACAGCTTCTGTATCATCTTCTATCTGTTTACTCAGTTGGCCGCTAATGTAATTATATCCTGCCCCTAATTGGGTGGTTGTTTGCTTCTTAGTTCATTGTACTTTACCGTCCTCTCGGTCCTTGTAGGCTAAGACGGTGTTGCATTACCATATAAGATTCCTGGAGTCTTTTCAACAGGCCTGTATTACACTGAAGGACAGCACTTTACTTTGTTGGGTGGCCACTATTCATAGCTGTGAGCATAATTTATGGAGTTCCCCCCCCAATAAGATTTCATAGCCTGCGATTTGGCTTATGCACATGTCCTATGCTAATACCTAGAGAGAGTTATTTTTTTGGGGGTGGGGGGGGGGGGGCGCAAAAAGGTACTCTAACCAGTATGAAATGCAAGCAGGGTCATGAATCGATATGGGGGTGATTACTGGGGCCTGCAGATTTTCTAAAGCTGCAACTGCAAGAAAGCAAGAAAAAAAACCTCAATCTTTAATTCAGATGTTTTTTGTTCTGCTAGAATGTTCTTCATCACTGTGCAGCTGTGAGTACAGATCCGGATAAGAGCGTATCTGAAGTGTCCCTTGTTTGTAACACAGGGGCCCAGTAATCTGAAGGGTTTTCTGTGAACTCACATCTGGTAAGGGGTCGCATCTTTTATGCAAGAACAGTCAGGGAAACTGGATCTGTTAAAACAATAAGAGCAGTGTGGCAAGACACCTAATAGAGAGGTAATATGGTAGTGGGTGATGCCAGGGTTAGTCTGATGCATGCACTGGCATCCCATCTCTGCTGTACTCACATCATACTCTGTGTTTACCCAGGTTGGCTAAGTGGTTATGGAAGATGCCTGGATGGATGCATGGATGGATTTATGGATGGATGGATGCATGCATAGATGGATTTATAGATGGATGCATGGATGGATGGATGCATGCATGCATGGATTTATGGATGGATTTATGGATGGATGCATGGATGGATTTATGGATGGATGGATGCATGCATGGATGGATTTATGGATGGATGCATGGATGGATTTATGGATGGATGGATGCATGCATGGATGGATTTATGGATGGATGCATGGATGGATTTATGGGTGGATGGATGCATGGATGGATATACTTAGGACCGTCACTAGGATCTTATGACATCCGGGGCTTTACACCTTGGTTCTCAAACTGATAGCATGCTTGTAAAAACATCTGAGCTAAACAAACCTTTTGGAGCACATTCAGATTTATACTGTATACTGAGACTTCAGGTCCAAATGCTCCAGCCTCTGGATATGTTCTCTATAGACTAAATGTACTACGATTTTGCTGGACTTAAGCCTAAAATGAATGAAATCTGACAACCAAAGGATTACAGTTTACCGTGATCATGTGATCTTCACCATCACCGTTTCCGTTTATACGTGTACGTTACCTTTAAATAATCCGATAGATGAGAGTGTACAGGATGCCTGTCGTACTCCTGCACCGTCCACGAAGGCTTTGACTTTCTGCTCTCCCAGCTTTCTGCCGTCTGCATGTCTGAGTAGAGGGGGTTCCTCTTGATTTTCGGTTTCAGCGTCATCGGCGTGACGTGCTTCTCCAAGACGCCGTCCACAAACACGGGGCTGCTTTCCAGAGACGGCCTGTCGCCGGTCAGTCTCCTCTGCTCCCTCTTCGGGATGAGAGGAAAAGAGGAGCAGTGTTTGCTGTCCTCTGAGGAGCTTAAAGGTATCATTTTCCCCCAAGGATTTATCATTTTATCACCTCCTGTTAATTTTTAATTAAACATGCGATTTTAGCTGGAGTTCTGCAGCCAAGATGGAATTAACTCATGAGAGAACTAATGCTGTAAGTGTCATTTTATATTAAGTTTGTGTGACGAATCCATTCCATCCCAGACAGAGCCCCAGATGTCCCTGGCTACTTAGTACTATTATCATTTTCATCTGAGAGAAAAAAAACACACTATTGTCTAATATAAATCATGCCTTACATATTATCGGCAGACATTTAAACAGATGTTTGTATACAAGTACAACATTTTTCTGAACATCAGTACAGAGCAGTTAAAATTGTGTGCATTCTATGCATTACTCAGCATAACCATACTTAATCAATGACGTCTAATGTATATTACAGACAAAGTCAGAAGCCAGTTAACTGTTCAGTGGTAGTGGGGTCTCGGATTTGCAGTACCTGCATGTAGACCCGGTTCTGCCATTGCCTCTGTCCCGACAGCGCGGCCCCAGCCGTGCACCCGACCTGGAACATCCCATGAGTTGCAGGTAAGGAACTGACATTCAGTTGGAGGAATTTCTCCGGGTGATTATTGTTGGGGAGGGCCGACAGATCCATGTTTCTCCGAGGATAGACAACGTCGGAGGACAGGACGGCTTGCAGAGCTAAGGCCTCCTAATTATTCATGACGCTCTGCTGCCCGTGGAGGTCGTGTGTAATGGTATCCGACCCCTCCCCGCCTGTAAGCGGACTCCCGTGGTGCCAGCAGGTGTAGCGACAGTGTCTGTCACACGCGAACATGGTGGGGTTGTTCGCGGGGCCCACGGCTGCTTCTGAGCCGATGGACTGTGTTTTATCAAGAGCGGCCACTGAAACCTTTGATTTACTATGAGTCTGCATGTTCAGAGGCATTTGGATGCTGTCCCAGCTTAGGCTAGCTGCCTGTTTGGGGAAAACAGTGAGAGGTACAGAAATACAGCAAAATATAGCATGTGGTCTGTCAGAAATAGACTTAGTGCCAGTAGACTGGAAAAGAAATCTGTACTATGTTCTGATGTTGTTTGAAGTCTTGTTTTTGTTTGTTTGTTGTTTTTTTTTAATCACGCAAATAATCCAGGCTTTCATTCATAATGTTACATCAGTTTTGCATTAAATGATATGCAGTGTTGGGCATTTCAGATCCAGAAGCTACAAATCCAGACCAAGATTTTGTTTCTACTGATCAGTTAAACATAAAGAGTCACAGTCACAGAGTACTTAGCTGGTTGGTAGAAACAAAGTCTTGGTCTGGATTTGTTGCTTCTGGACCTGAAATACCCAGCACTTAATGATAAGTATCCTAATCTGGATAGTATACTTCGATCTTCTGATCTAGGAAAGAAAAGCACAGTGGTGCCGTGATCCCTGTTGAACAGCTACCCTTAACTTTTTATCTTTAACTTAAAAGGCCACAAAAAGGCTGGATCATTGAAACATGGTACAGCTGAAAAGCATTTCTCAGTTGCCACTGTAACTCAATATCTGGCTGTCTGAGATTAATTTAGCTTTCTTCTGAACACTGTGAGAAGCCCGTTTTTACAGTTTAGGAGGGAGGGTGAGGTCCTCTGGAGCCCATCCTAGAAGTGTTTCAGGAAGGTCAAGTGCCGTGTGCAGTGGGCAAGGCCGGTAGCCCTGTGTAGCCCTGGGGAGCCCTGTGTAGCCCTGTGTAGCTCTGTGTAGTCCTGGGGAGCCCTGTGTAGCCCTGTGTAGTCCTGGGTAGCCCTGTGTAGT